GGAGGAGAAGAGGAGGGGGGGAGGGAGGGAGGTGTGCAGGTGGTGCCCCCGCCCCAAGGCGCCTGCGTGCCCCGGCCGCGGACGGCCGCGAGCAGCCCGCTCCTGCGGGAGGGGCGCAGGGATCCTGGCTCGCACATCGCTCGGGGGCTGCTCCATGGGGCGGCTATTGCTACGGCTACGGCTCCGCACTCGTGGCGCCATGAAGGCGCGGCGGAGGGGGCACCGAGGCGCCTGCTAAGGTACACGCGTGTGAAGCAATGTGAAATACTGCATGGGAGGGAGGGGGGAATCCTTTCGGGGGCGCGCAAACATTGATTAGCGATGGATTTGGCGCGCGGTCGCCAAATCCATGGATCGGGGGAGGCGCCCTCCCAAAAAAATGCAGCTGGTGCCGCCTCGCTTGGCGGCGGAAATCCACGATTTCCTGTGGACGCGGGACCCGTCGCTAATCCATGCCCCATCGATCCTCGTTTACGATCGCCTGATCCTTGGCGGCGCGCGAGGGGGTAAGCACGAGGGGGTACGGCAGGTTCGTATCGTGACGACCTCGGCGTTGGTTTCTGGCATCGCGCGGATCGTTCAACCTGGAACGATCGGCGGCTTTTCGATCGCCCTATCGTTCCAAATTGGTCGATTCTGGGCCACTGGCGGCGTTCAACCTTGAACGTCCGCGACGGGGTCGCCGCCGGTCGACACGACGCGAATCTACCGTAAAGGGTTTGAGGGAAAGGCTTCTCAGAAGGCGTCGTGCTCAAGAAGCCCACGACGCCTCATCCGTGGACTTCGCGCGTCTTCTGGGGGTCGGCGGGAAGGCGCAAGCCACTCGAACAATTGGCGGCGCGCACGGGGGCAGCGGGAAAGCTTCTAAGGAGGCTGCTTTTTAGAAGGCGTGGGCCTTACACCTGTAGACTATAGATGAGGCCCGCGCCTTCTAAGAGGCAGGGTGCTTCTACGAAGCCTTCCCACTCCCCCTACCCCCCTCTGCGCGTGCCTGGAATAAACGGGGGGGAAGCAGTCTGTTTCCTTTGTACTTTTAGGGGATGGCCAAGGTTGTCTGGTTGGGAGTGTGTGGGGAGCGACGGCTGTTACCCCAACCTTTTCGCTTCATGCAAGAAGGCTCCTTCGAAGGAGGCCGCTGCTTAGAAGGCGCCGGCCTACCATCTACAAAGGAGGCCCGCGCCTTCGAAGAGGCAGGGGTGCTTCAGAGAAGCCTCCCCCCCTCCCCCTACCCCCCTCTGCGCGTGGCTGCTGAGGGGGAAGAACATGACCTGGAATCGGCGACACAACGCCCACAGATAATCGAAGCTGCACCCGTGGCGAAACTTCGGTGGCAACTCATGGGAGCCTCCCGTACGATATTATCGGCTCTTGCGGATCGACGCTAAATCGACGCTAATCGACACTAAACCGACGCTAACCGACGCTAAATCGGCGCCATCTATCTCGTCGACTCCAGACGCTAATCGACGCCAATCGAGGCTAAAGACGAAACAAGGAGGGAAGACCAAGCTCTCAAATTTGCCACCGAACGAAATGCGACGCTCCCGGGTACGGTGGAGGAGGAGGAGGAGGAGGAGGAGGAGGAGGAGGAGGAGGAGGAGGAGGTTAGGAGGAGGAGGAGGAGGAGGAGGAGGAGGAGGAGAAGGAGGAGGTTAGGAGGAGGAGGAGGAGGTTAGGAGGACGAGGAGGAGGAGGAGGAGGAGGAGGAGGAGGAGGAGGAGAGCCCGAGCACGGCCCACGGGTCTCCTCCAGCAGCCGCCCCCGCCCACGCCGCCGCGCCCGCGGGGCCGGCGACCGCGGCGCACGAGCACACGGCCGCGGCCGCGGTGGCCCAGGCCGCCCGCCGGCGCGCCAGCCGCGGCGCGCGCCCGGTGCCGCGGAGTCCTCCTCCGCGCGCCGAGGACATGGGGCCGGGCGGGTGCTGCGCCAGCGGCGGCCCTGGCCCAAACGCAGAGAGGTCGCCTGCGGCGTCGGCCCCCGTTGGTCGGCGGTGGACAAACCTCCTCAATTCCTTAACCGACGTGTCGGGGTAGGAAACCTGTCCACTTGGGCTCCGGCCCATGTCGGCTCCGGCACCGGCGACCTGCTAGTTACGGCTCTGGCCTGCTTGCGGTTCCAGCGGTGCGTGTCGGCGCGGGCCCGGCTCGGTCTCGGCCCGTTGCGGCTCGGGCCGAGGCCGAAGCAGCGGTCCGAGGCCGAGCAACGGGGCGAGGCCGAAGCGGGCCGAGAGCCGAAGTGGGCCTGAGGCCGAACCCCAGAACCCCCTCGAGCCATGAACAAATCATGACGGGGGGGTTCTCGCCATGTTCGGCCTCTGGGTGCCCTGGCCGGCACTCGGGGCCGTCAAAAAACGATTCGGGACGATTCGGGTCGAGAACTGGGAAGCTTTCTTATGAACAACTCCTGACATCGGGGGTCTGGGATCGGGCCCTTGGGCCCTCGACCGGCGCATTCCGCACCTTCCACCAGCTGCGCTTCTGGGAAGCGTCCCCCCAGATCCGCGCGTGGCAGTGCTTTGCACACGGGGCGTCTTCGCATTGCTGCGGGCCCCAGGACCATCACGGACCAGTCGCCGCTGAGGCCGCGGCGGCGGCCGCTGCAGCGCGGCACCTGCCGCGCGACAGGTGCGGAAGGTGTTGGTCGAGGGGTGCCACCAGCTTTTCGCGCCCTCTTGGAGCCTCCCGGGAGACCCTCTGGGCCTCGCGCAGGGTGTTTTCGAGGCCGTTCGGCGGTGGACACTCCTCCCTTTCGCAGACCTCCCCTTAGTGAAAACGACCTGGGACCGAAACCGACGGACCTGGACACGCAAAAATGACGGCCGCGACGCCCTCTCGCGAACCGAAAACGGCCAATTCCTTAATCGACGTGTCAGGGTAGGATGTCTGTCCACCCCCGAGCCCTCTTGGAGCCTCCCGGGAGACCCTCTGGGCCTCGCGCAGGGTGTTTTTGAGGCCGTGGGGGCTCCTCGGAAGCCCTGGGGGCACCCCTGGGCCAGGGACGCCTCTGGCAGCACCCCACAGGGCCGAGCAGGGCCCTCCCCTCCTCGTGGAGCTCGCCGGGCCCTGGGCGTGGAGTAGGCAGGTGCGCGGCGCGTGCAGGAGAAGGCCGTGGGGGAGGAGGAGACGGAGCGGCGCGGGGCCCTCCTCCCTCTTTGGAGGCCACTATTGGGAGGTCTCGTCGGACGGATTCAGGAGGATGAATCCCCACTGGGGGGCTGTTAAGCCAGAGTGGGCCTCGGATCAAGCGGGATTAAGCTGGACTCAGTGGGATTAAATGGGATTCAGCCGGATTCAGCGGGATCAAGCGGGATTCAGCAGGATTTCGGACCAGGGCTAAATCAGAATTTGACCTCCCAAGAGTTGCATGCGAATCCCTCTCACGGAGCTGGCTGGGCTCTGAACGCGGGAAGGCAGTGCGCCCACACCCCACAAGAGGAATACCATGGAGGACGAGAACATCGTCCGCGGCGACATCGTCGGCAAACTCTGCTCAAAATGGGCACGAACCACTGTCGGTCTTCGCTCACATTATTTCCGTGGTTATGTTGCCAATTTCGATCGTACCGATCAATGGATCGCAATCTCCTGACGACCTGTCCGCCCCCCCGCTGCCACGGCCGACGCCACCGATGCGGGCCGCGGCGCCAGCCGGACGTCAACAAAAGGAGGGCCCGCGTCGCTGCTTGGCATGATTCCCTGAGGGGAAAACAAGAGTGGTGAGGACCGGCTCAGTGGGGGAACTATCGAACTAGAATCGGCGATGCATCGCCGATAGAACACCGATAACAAAGCCGCACGGTCTGGGCGGAAGAGGGCTATATCGGGCCTCTAATCGGCAATGGATACGCCACGAAAGTACATACACAGACACCCTGCGACGAAACTTGTGCATGCACTTCCCTGTGTGTCCGAAGTCCCTGGCTCCAAATGGTGATCTCCACGCCGCCCTCCCCATGGGGCCCAGGAACAGTCCGGTGGAGGGCGCCCGCCCGGGTATGCCTTTATCTGCGGCGGAACGGGGGGGGCGAGGCCTCCCTGCCTGTGCCTCGCCTCCCCTGGCGACGAGGGGGGCAGAAGCCCGGCGGGACACGGGCCCGGGACCTGGACTTCGGTCGGGCCTGTCCCCCTACAAGGGGATTTTGGAGGAAGAATAAAGCATACTCAAAAAAACAAAAGATGCCTGAACATAACCAGAAAATGGTCCCCATACTATGCTTTTTTGCTATTTTTGAATATTCCCCCTGTAGAGTGACAGGCCCGACTTAAACCTGGCCCCCCCCCTTCCCCCGGGGCCCTGCCCATGGAGCACAAAAGCGCTCCACCCCGGGCCGCTCGTGGCCCAGGGTCGGCTGCGAGCCTCGATCCTCGATCCTCCTCGATCCTCCTCGATCCTCCTCCTCCTCCTCCTCCTCCTCCTCCTCCTAACCTCCTCCACCTCCTCTTTCTCCTCTTCCTCCTCCCCTCCCTCCCCTCCTCCTCCTCCTCCTCCCTCCACCTCCTTGCTCTTCCTCCTCATCCTCCCCCGCTACCTTGTCTCTGCTTCCTCCTGCTCTCCTCCTCTCTCCTCCTCCTCCTCCTCCTCTCCTCTCCTCCTCCTCCTCCTCCTCCTCCTCCTCCTCCTCCTCTTCGCCTCATGTGTCCCGCCCCGGCTCCTCCCTGCCTCGCCCCCTCGTTCCTCGCCGCTTCTCCTCCCTCCTATTCCTCCTCCTCCTCCTCCTCCTCCTCCTCAACCTCCTCCTCCTCCTCCTCCTCCTCCTCCTCCTCTCGGTGGCGAGCAAAGGGGGGTAGTGAAATGGGGACGGCCTTCTCAGAAGGCGGCCACGATGTTCCAAAGCCCCCCACGCCTTGTCAGAAGTTCTCCCTGCATCTCCGGGCAAAGCTTCTAAAAGCTTGCCAAAGGCGGCGGGGCTTCCGAGCCTTCTGAGATGGCCTTCTCCTTCTCACTTCCACCCCTGGCGCGCCGCCGACAGGGAGGGCAGGGCCAAAAGCGGAAAGGAGCTTTCCAGGAGCGCCCTCCAGCCCGCGCCCGCGCTGTCCGCGGCGACCCAGACGAAGGGGGCGCCCACCCAGGTCGCCCGCCGCAGAGAACCTCTCCGCGAGGACGAGAACCCCTTCAACCCCAGCTGTCCAGCGAGGCGCCTTCTCCGGCGTCGCTCCTCGAGGGGACCGCCTCCATCCGGGATCCTTTTCTGGGTGGCCACGGGGGCCCGAGAAGGGTGGCCCCGAACAGGGCAAAAAGAATACCGAAGCCGCTCGATCCCCGATCTTCGAGCCCTCGAGGCCGAGGAACCCAGGCCTAACCACCCTCGAGCTTGTCCCTACCCTTCAGATTGACCATCCAAAAAACAATGACAATCTGAGGGATGCGCCCCAGAAACTGAGGGAACTTCTCCTCCTCCTCCTGCTCTTCCTCCTCCTCCTCCTCCTCGCGCGTCGCCCTGACAGGCGGGCGATCCCAGCCCACGCTGTGCGTGCTGTGCCCACTGCCCTCCGGTCCGCCCGCCCCGGTGCTGACGCCGCCGAGCTCTGCCCAGAACTGTGGGGCAGACCCCAGCCGCAACGACAAGAACGACAAGGACGCACCTGAAGCTCTGGGCTCCCCGGCGACAAACAACAACAGCCCCGCAAAACAAATCCCCCCGAAAAAAATCAGAGAAGCATCGTCCCCAGACGAGATGCGATTTGCTACTCTGGAATCTCCCACCTGTAGGGGGGGCCATGCCCGACTGGAGGGTACCTGCTCCTCAGAGGCCTAGATGGGGTCGAAGGATCGCGGCGCATCGCCAATGCATCCCGATGCATCGGCGATGCGGCGATGTATTTGCGATGCATCGGCGACGTCGGCGTGTGGAAACACGGCCTCCGCATCGAGCCGCATCGTCGATGCATCGGCGATGCAGCGCGATCCACCGACCACATCGACGCCGACCCCATGAGGGACGGCCCAGCTCCTCCTCTGCAGCTCTCGGGTTCCCTGGCAAGTCGCGCGGAGGGGGGGCCCGCCCGGCACGGCCGGCACGGCGTGCGGGGCTCGGCCGCCCGGAAGGCGCGGGGGCGCGCCCGCAGGCCCGCGGCTCTCGCGCGTGCCCCGGCGGGCCCTCGCGGCGCCCCGAGCGCGCCGCGGGGGAGGCGACGGCGGAGGGTCAGTGTTCGGAGCCTCGGCAGGCGGTGGAGGCGGACAGATTCGGGCGCCGGGGGCCGAAATATATCCACATCCACCGCCCACTGGGGCACCAGGACGTCGGTTCCCAGGCGGCGGATATGGAGGAATTCCCGCCTCGGAGAGGGGTCTGCCCCGAGGTGTGCGTGCTTTTGTTGCTCGATGGTCCAGGGGTCCTCCATGGTTGTCGCCGAGGAGAATGCACACGTCCGAGCGATGCCAAGTCAACAGCAAGTGTTCAGAAGAAAAACAACGCCATCAACAGAAACTTTTGGCGCTCCGCGCGGGTTTCTTGGATCTGCGCTGGACCCCCCTCCCTGGCGCGCGGAGCGCGCCAGGGGCGGCGCCGGGGGCGGCGCCAGAGGCGGCGCCGGGGGGCCCCAGGCGCCGAACCAAGAAATCCGCGCGGAGCGCCGAAAGTCAATGTCTGGGCAGTTTTTTCTTCTTCGAGTTTCCCCCAAAATCGACAGCGGCCGCCGTCGGGTACGGTGAGGGCGCGGCCGCAAGAAACCCTCGCAGGAGACCGAACCCTGAGAACCCGCGCGCGAGGTGCACCTGAGTGAAGGGGCCCCAGGACACACAAATAAATACACACAAATAAAAAGATCCCCCATATTTTCTCATATTTTCTGGGTTTCTGTCTTCCCATACACTTCCCATATTTTCCAATATTTTCTAGGGAATCGAGGATTAATTGTGTCTGTGTGTTTCTTTCCCTCCTGACTGAGGGGAAACCTGGAGCACCCTGAACACAGCCGCTCCTTCAACGGCTGCGGGAAGTCAGCGCGCAGCGCGAGGGTCGAAGAAACCAAGCATACCCTGACGAAAAGCATATGGCTTCTTGATGCGCGCCCCCACTATAGGGGGGCCGTCTGTTTCAGGTGGGCAAAGCCCGCGGCGGCACCGACAGCGGACCCCATTCAAGACGGCAAGGACCTGCTGAGGGGCCTTCGTCCCCGCTCTCTTCGTACCCATGTCCGTCGTGCCGACTGTCGAGGGGCAACTTCACCATCATCATCACAGGCATTAACCATCCCCCTCACCCTCCTCCTCCTTTCTCCTACGCGTTCTTGTCGTCCTCATCCTCATCCTCCTCTTCCTCCTCCTCCTCATCCTTCTCCTCCTCCTCCTCCTCCTCCTCCCCCTCCTCCTCCTCCTCCTCCTCCTCCTCCTCCTCCTCCTCCTCCTCCCCCTCCTCCTCCTCCTCCCCCTTCTTCTTTTTCTTCCTCTTTCAGGGGGGCACCTTCTCAAGAAAGACACATCGAGCGGGAATCGGCGACGCATCGCCAACACATCGGCGATGTGCCCCCGAGAGCGGGTCCGCCCGCTCCTGGGCGGGGCGGGCTGGATCAAGCCCCTATCGTCGATAAAATGGGCCGTTGGGGATCGCTGCGGCCCCCCCTGAGCTTACCGCGCCCGAACGCTGCCCCTGAGACTTGTCATGAAAACTGAGCACCGGAGAACAAGGGTCCTTTCTGGACGCTTCCGCGGTGAGGTCCGAAAGCCCATGTGTACGTGTGATCATCAGAGGGTCGGGCCACGTCGACGACGCATCGCCGGTGCATCGGCGCCGCCGGCATCGGGCTCCGCTTCGAGTCAGGCCCAATTCGGGACGCCCGGACTTACGCACCCACGCCTCCTCGCGCTACGAAAACAAGTCACGACACCTTGCTTCGAACACGGAGGGGCGTCAGAAACGGCGGGTGATGAAAAAACGATCCACAAGAAGGGCTCAAGTGTTCAAGGGGGCGATGTTGTGAAAGAAATCGCCTGGTGTGTATTACGCACTTCGATCGGCACGGCACGGAGATCTTACGCGGTCGCTTGCGGGCCGCCCGCGCGGCAAGTTGATTGAAAACGAGGGCGCTTACGCGCGACGAGACGCTGACCACTGACACGCGAATGTCAGCGCCAGCGAACACCTGCTCAGTACGTCTACCACGCGGGCGCAGCAGAAACACGACCCCCCAAACAAAAACATGGCAAGCAAGCTCTTCGTCCCCAGGCCCTTTCTTTGGCGGCCTCGCGGCACTGGCCTCTGGTCTTCACGGTCACGGGACCAGAGCCAAGGGCCTCGGCGTGCGAGAGCTGCTGCTAAGGGGGAACCACGGGCGCTGAAAACATTAGGTCGAGCCTGTCCCCCTACAGGGGGGTTTTGGAAACATACTCCCAGGAAACTTCAAAAATCCGCCGACCCTGTCGGCGTGTGCGAGGGGCTTGGCTGTTCGAGTCGTCGTCTCCGTCGGTCGTCGCCTCCGTCGTCCCCTTTCCCTGCAGCTTCCTTCTCAAGCTCGGGAGCGAGAGAAAAATCTAGCAGTGTCGTAATCGAGTCGAAGGGAAGCCCCTTCCCTTTGATCCCTTCCCCAGGGGGGGGGGGGTCCCGGGGGGGTGGGGGGGCAGATTCGTTTTTCCTCGGGCGGCCTAGAAACCTCGAAAACACTCCAAATGAGGTCCGAATGCCCAAGATGGCCCCCGAGACGGCCCAAGAGGGCCCCGAGTCGCCCAAAGAACGGCCGAAAACGCCCAAGATAGCCCCAAGACCGTCCAAGAAGCCTCCAAGACGTCCCAGGCCCCCTCCAAGAGACCCCCAGGAAGCGCCAAGAGGCCCCCACGAGGCTTCTAAGCGGCCCCTAAGAGCTTCCCAAGAGGCCCACAAACTACCCCCAAAAGGCCCCCAAGAGCGCTCCTCGTCGTCGTCGTCATCGTCGTCGCCATTCAGGGTCGGCGGCACCGGCCGTAATGCCTTCGCAATACTCAAGAAATAATCACCAGACTATGTTTTGCGTATTTTTGAAAATTCCCTCTGTAGATGGACAGGCCCGGCTTAATGAAAACATCACGACGTCAGAGGTCTGGGGTTGTGGTCGCTGCCGTGGCCATCGACCGCTCAGAACCACCGGTTGGACTGCTTCGCGTTCAGCTGCTTGGCCATCTCGAGAAAGTCCTTGGCGTCGTCGGCCATCTTCGACGACTTGTCGCCCAGTGATCCGAGCCTCCCAGGAGGAATGGGGAGGGAGGAGGGGGAGGGAGGGAGATGGAGAACGACGAGAAGGAAGATTTCTTGAGGTCTGTTGCTTAGGACGGCGCTCAAACCGTAGATGTTTCAAACATCTGCGGTGCATATTAGAGGGCGCAGATTTCTTGAGCGGAGAGCGCGGGGGAACACAGAGAAACTGCATATAGGAACCAGTGCAGTAGCTGTGTTCAATCAGACAGGAAGGAGACGCGGAAATGACATAGAGGAAGAGAAATACTCATGCCCCAAACCAACACACACTACGAAACCTCCCGGGCAACCGCAAAGCGGAAACCACACAGTGCGCCGCAATTTCAACTAGGACAAACAAGATTGGACTCAGAAGACCCTGTCTTGGCATTGACGACGTTCGGCCAATGGTCGGTATGAAGGGTAGATCGTTTCCTCCTTTATCTACCCTCATATATTCCCTCTTCCTCTTCCTTCTCCTCCTCCTCCTCCTCCTCCTCTTCCTCTTCCTCCTCCTCTTCCTCCAATCCTCCGTACATGTTCCGATTATGGTGCGTGTTTATCGCAGATGGATTACACTTGCAAGCCTCCAAAGGAGCCTCAGACGAGAAAGACTTCGAGGCAGCTCACTAAGCAGAACAACTCCAACCGAAGAGATCGGGGCTCACACTCGACACGTACACTAGTTGCCATATCCAGGCCGAGTCATGCGACGTGAATGCATGTATTCCTCCATCCCCCGTTCCTGGTGAAGGACTCCTCCCTGCGGCACCCCCGAACGTGTCGGCAGGGTTAGATCGTGCATGTCCCCCTAAAGGCGGATCTCGGGCAAAACATAGAAAATTGTAAACATACATGTTTGGAGGGACAAGCCCGACTTAACGGTAGGGAGGCCCAGGAGTTTCGCCAGGCACTGCTCGGCGCTGAGGGCCCCATGGTAGCCGCGACGACGCACACAGACCAACTGTATATGCTAGTTCTCCTGTTGCTTGGTCTTGCGCGGCATGGATCGATGATCCTCAGAACGGGTGTCAGCTCCAGCGTGTGTTTGTCCATCGAGGCCCTTCGACACGACCCAGGCGATGTGACGATCTACGGCCTTCTACGGGCGTTGGCGCCGCCGCCCCGGAGATCGCCGGAACACAAGACCAGGGGAGCTTCAAAACAAGATATGTGTTGACACTTCCCCCTTCCCCCAGGTACTGCGTGGGGCCGGCGGCGCCGCATCACCCTTCGAGGAAGGTCCCCCTGTCCGTCTGGTGTTGGATCCCCCACGTCTCGAAATGCAACGGTGCCCCTTCCGCAGCGAGGGGAAGCGCAGCGGCCCCCTCTCCTCACTGAGCGCTCGCCCTCCTCCGCCCCGAGCGCGCCATCATTTAGAACAAAAATGATGTACTGATAGGATTGGCTCAGGAAGCGCTGCAAGAATTGGAAGAGCATCTAGCGGACCTCGTGGTTGCAGCCCGCGTGGGAAGTTAGGGGGTCCTGGAACTGGTGGAAATCCTGGACCGTACAATTATCATGACCGCTTGTCCGCTTGACAATTGCACCACCCACTTCAAGTGTACTACAAGATATCTGTCAAACAAATGCTGCCCTCCTAGCGCCTGCTAGTGCCTATTAGCAACTATCAAGGCCAGTTGGCGTTTACTAACGCCTACTCGCGCTTATCCACGACCACCACGAGGCAATCATAGGCGCCATCAGCCGGGGAAGACAAGAACTCATGCGCAGCAAGACTCTCAGGGATCAAACAACCATCCCTCTGGCGTCAGAGGCCAGCTTGCCCTGCAAGCTGGACCCCCTGGCGCGCCCCTCGCCCCTCCTGTCTGCTGCCCAGTGCCCACCCTAAGCGCCCACCCGCCCCCTCCGCAGTCAAGGCGACCCCACGGCCCCGCCCTCCATTGAGCAGGGACCGACCGTCCAGGCATTCCTATAGTCCTACCACGAAATGTTCTTAGAACCCACAAATGCTCTAAGAACACAAAAATGTTCTTAGAAGATAAACCCGATGCGTTCAAACAAAACAAACTCAGTCAGGAATGTTCTAAGAACACTTCGTGGAAACCACACAAGGTTCTTAAAACATTGTTTGGTAGTGCTATAGGCGAGAAAGGACGCTTCGCCACTGTTTGGCTCCACCCCCCTTCGGGAGTCGCTGGGAGGTGCCCCTGGCCCACGGACCCAACCGCTTCTTGCTCCGCACTGGAGCCCCCGGGGTCCCTTGGGTTTCGTGAGGGGTGCCCTGGCCGCCTGGGCTCTCCCGACAAAATCCTGGAGGCACCCTGTGCCAGGGATACTTCTAGCATTAGGTCGGGCATGTCCCCCTGCAGGCAGATTTTGGGCGAGAAATGAACAATAGCGCAACAATAATCCCAAAGTGTCATAAGAACATGTTCCCTCGACTATTTTTCCTATTTTTGAATATTCCTCCTGTAAAGGGACAGGCCCGGCTGAAATTCTGGCAACACCCGAGCGAGGTGCGCGCCCGGTGTGCACAGCCGAACGCCGCCGGCTCCCAGGGCGGCCCCAGCGCCAGGCGCGGACGTGGTCTGCGTCCATCCCTGCGCGTTCCTTCGGTTTCGTCTGGGCTCTCCCTGCGTCCATTTCGCTTCCTTCGCTTTCCTTCGCTGTCCTTCGAGTTCGATTTCGCTTCCTCCGATTCGATTGCGTTTCCCCCGCTTTCCTTTGTCCATTCGCTTTCCTTCGGTTTCGATGTCGCTTTCCTTGCGCCCATCCCTGCGTTTTCCTTCGCTTTCGCCCAGGAGTCCCCGAGAATCCTGGGGGAACCTTGGGCCACGGGCTCTCCTGTAGCAGCGCCCACCTCTGGGCGTCCCGTCAGCGGCCCCCGCGCAGGGCACCCATTGTTTGCCTGACCTTACGGACGCCCTTAAGTTCGCGGGCCCTTTGCAAGGCGGGGGTGATCCATACGGTCGGACCAATGACAGGCGAACAATCTTCACGCATTTGAAGACCTCCGCTGGACAGAACATCCCAAACCATACGAAACCTCGAGGGCGCCCTCCCCCATGATGCCAAAACAACATCCCAAAGACACGAAACATATTCGCATGACTACCCTCCCCGAACCGATCTCGATCGTATACCTCAGACTGGTCGGATCCGCCGCAGGAGGAGGATGAGGAGGAAGCGGAGGAGGAAAGGGAAAAGGAGGGGGAGGAGGAACAAAAGGAGAAGGAGGAGGAGGAGAAGGAGGAGGAGGAGGAAATGGGGGGGCGGAGGAGGAGGAAGAGGAGGAGGAGGAGAAAGAGAAACAGGGGGAGGAGGAGGAGGAGAAGGAGGAGGAGGAGGAGAAGGATGAGGGGGACGAGAAGGAGGAGAGTGAGGAGGAGGAGGAGGAGGAGGAGGAGGGGAGAGGGAGGAGGAGGAGCAGGAGGAGAGGAGGAGGAGGAGGAGGGAGGAAGAGGGGGAGGAGGGGGAGGAGGAGAAGGCGGAGGAGTGAGGAGGAGGAGGAGTGAGGAGGAGGCGGAGGAGTGAAGGCAAGGCGCGGCAACTCTGGGGTGCTATCGCATGTGCCTACACACATAAAACTGGAAAAGAAACTAGCACCTGAGTGGCATCAGTGATGCATCTTCCCACAGCTGTTGGAGCTGCAGGTGGAACTCACTCGGGCCTCCACACACCCTGAAACTTGGAAATGCCAAAGAAGGGGGGGCGATGGCACCGCCACTCTCTCGCAGTGAAACTCCGCTGGCATTCGACCTAAGACGTTTTATTAGATGCTGCTTTCGGACCTTGGGCACACGAAGAGTTCTCTCGGCTCCTGATACACCCCTGTCAAACAAAAAAAGAAGAGAACAAACTCGGAGAGTGAAGTCTTGAGGAGCGGGACCAGGGAGAGGGCAAGCGTCAGCAGTCGCAGAGCTCGAGGACGAGGGAGGAAGGGGGAAGAGCTCTCCGCACTCAACTAGAAGAAGCGGGCTAAAGTCTCGAAAACGGCAGGCACAACTATGCACCTCTCCCTGGGCGCGCTGGCCCCCGCAAGGGCAAGAGGAAATCGGGGGCCTTCGCCTCCCCTCAGTCTGGCACTCACAGACGCTGGAGCAGCAACCCTGATCCCAGTCCCCTCTCGACTGGCGGTCGCCACTGTGCTCGGGCTGCTCAGACCAGTCCCCAATCGACTGGCGTCAGAACTCGAAACTGCACTCACGCCATGAGCTGCTCGAGCATCTTCGACGCATCCCTCTCCAGAGCACCGCGGGGCGCTGGCCCGTGCTTCCTCTGGCCCATTTTACTGGGGCACGCGATCAGCGCCGACTCCAACTCGCCGTAGCGGTGGTCCACTCCGAAAGTGACGCGCAGCTTCTCCCCCTTCGCCTCCTGCTCGCGTGTCGCGCGTACACGACGGTGTCGCACTTGACCGGCCAGCTCTATCACCTGCGCCTTCAGCACCACCTCGCCCCAGTACTTCTCCATGGTCTGCTTCGCGCCGGCGCCCGCCTGCGGGCCCGTGCCGGCGGCCTTGATGGGGGCCGTCCAGACGCGGGCGAACGGCGGCCCCAGCGTCTCCGTCTCGGTGCCCGCCTCCTTCCTCTCCTGGACCTCGCAATGGCAGAGCGCCCCCGCCTGCTTCGCCGCCGCCGCCGCGACCTGCTCGGCCGCGACTCGGAACGCGACGAACGCCTCTCCGCATACGTCTCGAAGTTCTGCCGCACTGGACAGCGTCAGCCGTCTAATCTCCACCTTTTGATTTTGCCTGCTCGGCCAGCTTTCGCTTCTTGCCCCCCTGGCCACCGCCCGCGGCCGCCGAGGCGGTGATCGCCCAGTCTGGGGGGGCCCCATGGCCGCGCCCAGGCCTAGACCGGATCGCTCTGAGAGGTCCAGGGAGATGCACGCGCAGATGCAGCTGTAGTTGAACAGAATGGCAGCCGACGAAGTCACAAAGAGGACAGCCAAGCAGGGCAGGGGGCACAACGGAGCAATATTACGATCAGCTGGAACTTTGCAGAATCCCCTCGCGAGCGAAAGCTCAAGATGTCCCTGACA